AGCAACCAGGGTTCTGCTTAATCCGGGGTTGACATGACGGGTTTCCTTCGCAAGCCGCCCACGGGTTCTTCGCGCCGCCCACCTCGCGGCTTCTTCGCGCCGCCTCCGCACGGAGATCCCGCACCGCCTCCGCAAGCGCCTCTTCGAGCGGATTTCCGCGAGCAACAGCCCAGAGCCCCACGAAGATCCTAGTCGGTTCTTGATTGCTTTCTGCTCCCCTGGTACAAGCTTAACTTCTAGTGGTTTCATGGAAAACCAATTAGTTGGCAAATTTTAGAGTCCTAAAATCCAAGGGGTTGATCAAAAGGTCCGATGAACATGGGATGACCATCAGGGGAACCACCAAAAAGAGATAAGACTTTCACCACATGGGAAAAGTGACCAATATGGCCACTTTGGGGGCCACAAAATAGATTGATCAACCCCCAGATCCCCAAAAGCGATTCCTCGATCAATTAGACCTTTGAGGGTCCATCTTGCTTCTGTTGGAGGGATTTCAACCCTCCCACTCCCACGGGTATGTGCCTACATCAGGGGACTGTTTGGGGAGGGGAATTCGGGCCAAAAGTGTACCCACGATGCGGCTGAACCTCGCTAATTACCCTGAAAACCGCTGGGAAACGAGGGCGGCTTTTCCCTTCACAGCAAAAACTTCCAAAAGAGCCCTTCCAAAAGCAGACACGCCCATCAGAAACACCAACAAAAAACTCCGCGTAGCGCACGAGCCAGCGTCTTCAAATTTCGGGTCCAGCCCAACAGGGTACTGTGAATGGAATCCCCGTTTGCCATATTGCAACTAAGCTAACCACAGACCATAGGAATTTACAGGGCGTCAAAACTTGCGGTTTAGGGCATCCGCCGTCAAAATCCAACCCCAGCCCCTTTCCCCGTTGAGATAACAGAGTCTTTCTAACATGTCACCGTCTCATATGAGACATGTGGCTCTGTCGGGCAGCGCTCCCCTTCCGGTGAAGACATCGAATTTCGGAAGGTGATTCGGAATGCATCGTTGGCTCCTGGTGACTCCGGGTTGCTATGGGTCGCTATTGGTCGCTATGAGACGGATCCCAGCGCTTCACTCGCCTCTGGGTTCACCCCCAGCTCACACAAGCCCACCAGAGCCGCCAGCGACTCCTGTGGTTTGGGTTCGCGATAGTGGGCTTGGAAATGGCTGCAAGCGGCGCTATATATATATATAAATATGTACATATAGATGTGGGTGCGTATCTGTAAAAGCAAACACTCGAGGTGGAAAACCGAGCGAAACTAAATTTGAAGGTGTTTGGAGGTGGTGTGGTTGGAGGCTTGGAGCAACTCCCACGGTTGCACTGGTGGATGAAGCCGTGTTGATGCTTTGTTTGCTGGTTCGGTTGATAGAACAAATGAGCAGAGCGCTTTATGGCTGGTTGGCAGCTTGGTTGATACATGACCTTGGCTTGCTTGATGCAGCTATGCAACCACCAACCGTTTGGCAAAGGTTCGATTCAGGGCTCCAGCCTGACGGCCGAGGCAAAAGGAACGGGGTTCGTTGGCACCGGTGAACTCTCAGTTTTGGTCTGGCGTGTTTGATTGACATTGAGCAACTGGGGAGTCAACTATTCATTTTGGGTCCCATCTTTTGCTCATTCTTGTCATAGTCGTCAGTGTCGTTTTGGCCCCGCGCTCATTTTGGTCGTTCCTTCATCAGTGGATTCTCATTTTGCGCATCACCCCTGGCGAAACTGGTTCGCACGGCGGCTTTCAGTAAGCCAGGACTGGAACCCAAACGAGACCAATAGGCCGAAACAAGACGAGCACCAGCACCACACAAAGAAGAACAGATTTCAAAAACTGGGACCGAAACGGGTAAAAATCCGGGATCGAAACGAACAACGGTTTGAAACACTAGGACCGAAACGAGAAATAGTTCGAAGCGAAGCAAGCCGGGCCCCGGGGACATGCGCACTCGTCCTTGTTCAAACCCGTGTTCAGCAACGTTGAGATCTCATAGATAATGTCCATGGCCTTCCACTCGGCCCGTCCGACGAGTGCGTGATCGGAATGGGAAATATGCACTGGGGGGGGGGCTTGATTCGGGGGGTGGTCCATGTTTCAGCCACAGGAGGCATGGTGTTGCCCTGCAAATTTGCAGGCTTGGAGATTTTCGCAAATTGCCTTCTTCCGCCATGCGCCATCATTACTTGGGGTCACATCTGCAAGGGTTCGCCTCAGCTGAAGCACCTCCTCAAGGGCGCTCGTTTGGTGCGACTTACATATGCAGGTGGGCGTTCAGCCCTTCTCTTTTGGGACCATTGCAGAAGAAACCTGGTTCCCCGCGGAAGGTTTCGCAAAGGGGCCTGGTTTGGCCATGTCGTGTCAGGAGGGGGTTAATGCCGTATGCTTACCTTATCGCACTTAAGCGTCGTAAAATCAATCAAAAGTGCAAACAACGCTCCCTGGCACAAAGTTAACAAGCCATCTGGCGAGAAGTCTGGCCTGAGGCAGACTCAACATTGACTGCTGATGCTGCCCTTCCAACCATCTGTAGAGCATCCGAGTTGAGTCGTCAAATGAAGTTTAACGAGAACTTCCGCGGACACTAATTGAAGGTAGCTCTGCGCAGAGATAAGAGGAAATGCATGCGAGAAACATGCGTGTGGCGCAGGAATGCAAATCGCCTAAGGAGCAACCCGGCGCGGGTGCTGGCTTCTCCGGCTGACTGAAAGCTACCCCGGTCGCGACGCCGCTCGAAACGGTTTCGGAACGGGTGCGGAACGGTCGCGGAACCGTCTCAGACCCTTGCCCCTTGGCACGGACGTGCTCTCTGCGCGACACCAGTTTGCGTGCCTTCGGCAACCTGAGGCGCAGATTGCGTGGTAAGCGCGGCAACTTGTTGGCGCTCAGTTTTCGTGACAGGCTAAGACTTTGACTCTGGCAGTCTGAGGTGTTGATTTCGTGGCAGGCGCAGCACTTTCGCATTGTCAGGTACAGATTTTGTGACAGGCGCAGAACTTTCGCAACGACTGGTACAGATGTTTTGCAGGGGCCAGTGTAGAGGGAAAACGAAAGAGAAAGAGAAAAAGAAAAAAGACAACAGAAAATATTTATAAAAACAAAAAAAGAAGAGCAGCGACATGAGAAAAGAGAAAGGGAAAGCGAGGGAAAGACAAGGAGAAGAAGACAGAGAAAGAGAAAGGATAAAGGAGAAAGAAAAAAGAGAAAAGAGAAAGCAGAAAAAAGAAAGAAGAAGAAAGATAAAAGAATAGAGCAGATAGAAGAAAAAGAAAGAAGAAGACAGACAAATGTAAGAAGAAACAGAAAGAGAAAAACAAAGAGAAAGAGAGACAAGAGAGATTGCAAAAGAAAGAACACAAAATATGGAGAAAAAGACAAAGAGAAACAGAAAGAGAAAAAGCAGAAAAGAGAGAACAGACATATTGTCAAAAAAGAGAAAGAAAAAACGAGAAAGAGAGAAAAAGGAAAACAAACAAATCAAGAGCAAGAGAAAGATAGCGAGAAACGTAAAATGGGCAAAAAGAGAAAAACAATTAAAGAGAACAAAGAAAAAGAGAAAACATGAAAGAGAACAATCGAGAGAAAGGAAAACGAAGAAAAGAAAAAGAAAAGAAAAAAATAAAGAGGAAGAAGAGAAATGGACAATAAGAGGCAGAGAAAAAGGCAAGAGAAAAACTAGAAAAAGAAGAAAAGAGAGCGAGAGAGAAACAAACAAAGAGAAAGATAAAAATCAAGAGCGAAAATCAAAAAAAGAGACGCAAAGAGAAAGAGAAACAAAGCAAGATAAACAAAGAAAGATAAAAATAAAGAAAGATAAACATAAAGAAAGACAACAAGAAAAAGAAGAGAAACAACGAAAGAGAAAAATCAAGAGACTGAGAAAAAAAGAGAAAGCAAAACATGAAAGAGAATAGTCAAGAGCAAGAAAACAAAATGGAAAAAAAAAAGAGAAACAAAGACAGAGAAAAAACAAGAGAAAGAAAAAGAAAAAGAGGACGAGAAAAGCAAATAGAAAGAGACAACCAATACATTGTCATTAAGGACCATAGGCCATTCCATGGCTCCCCTTGCGAGTCAGCTCGGAACAAGTATTGGACTGGCGTGAAGCCTACCTTCTGTGGATGAACGAAACTCGGCACCTAAGAAGCCATTGCCTGTCCGCATTTTCAGGGGACTCGTCCTTCCAGAAACTTCTGTGCAAAAAGACGTTGTGAATTCACAGAGGCTCCAAAAACAATCCTAGTAGTTGAAAAGAAATCTTCATGCCCGTGCCTTGCATCATCTTCCGGACTCAAAGGCTCAAAGGACGTAAGGGGACCCGTCGACCCGTCGACCCGCCTCCTTTCTCTCCAACTCCTTGGCATCCTCCATGGCGCAAGGGGCGGAGAACGAACCCACGCTGGGGCTTGGAGCACCGTACATGTTTTTTGCACGTGCGCGGATTTTGTTCATATGGCTAGAAAATACAGCGTACATAGATATAGATGTACATATTTGTTCTAACATGTTTAATATAAAGACCGGCTACGTACACTGGCACACTGGCAAGTGTATCTATATGCCATATGATACATGTACATTCAAAGCTGGAACAGCTCGGCGCGACTTCGCGTTGTCTGTGGGCATCGCGCCTTCAGTGCGAGAACATCCTGTGACGAAGGCTTGGTATACGGCCCGATACATCTAATTAGCTGAAATATTCTCCTTCACCAACCCAACTCGCGCCCCAACAGCATGGAATGAATGCGTGGGACAATTAGGCTTTGTCCCCCCGGCTTCCGTGGCATGTTTTGTGTTAACAAGGATGTCAACAGGACCTCTTTTGGCCGAAAACTCGTCACTCGAGCGACCGGGGTGAGACGAGAGGTTACATGTGCCGTGGTCAAAAACATCGTGGTTGTTTGTTTTGAGTTGCAAAGTAATTGTACTTTTGATTGACTTGTTGCCCCGGTGGGCATGTTCCCACAGGAAATATCATGGCTTGAAAGGGGAGATGACCCTCAAAGTGGGGACACCACGTGATTTGATCATGGCACACATGGAGCGCTCAGGAAGGCCGCCCGGTGCCGGCTCCGCCCACCAAGCTCGTCATGCCTGGCACGGACATTTGAGGACGCGGTGGTGTCGCAGAGGTACCCAGCGCCGGGTACCCAGCCAAAAGATCCCAAAGTCATTCTTCGATTTCCCGAAATCCTGCGAGGCCGGCTCAAAACACCTTCGCACTGCAAGTAGGTATCAGAAAAAGCCCCTTAAAGACGTGAGGTTCTTACTTGCGAGGCAGGGGGGCCTAGAGTTGGGCATGAGAACCCTGGGGTGTTCATATCCCAAGCATCTTTCTTGCAACATTCACGTGGGGTTCAAGGTACTTCCCCACAAGAAGCGGATCCCATGAGCAACAACCCAACCAAGAGTTAAGTCATAACCGAAACCCTGTGCAGGAGTCTACCCAAAAACTATGTACAGAATCAAACGAGTTGATATCCGCACCAAAACAAACGGTAAGGAGACTATGGCCATGGCTGTGGCGCTTTATCAGTTTCTCACTTCGCCACCACTGGTCACTCATAGAAAGAGGCAACCTAACCCAACTACTTTCCACAAATGCTCGGTTTTGACATGGGTTGATTCGTTGGGCTTCATATTCGCTCACCATTGAGGGGATTCCCCATGAAAATTGATTCAGAGCCAGGCCTTCTACCTTGACGATGGTGTTCCCATCGTAGCGCTCGTTCTCCGCCTGCGCGCACTGCCGCAGCAGCTCCTGGCGACACAAAAGCAGCGTCCTGAGATGTGAAATCGAGCAAGGGTTTGGTGTGTAATTCCGCTGTACGGCTCTTGTTTTTCTCGATCCTTACATTATACACCTGAACATTGCCTTGTAAATGGTGGTTTCCTTTTATTTTGGTGGAAACAGCCATGTTTCAAATGGGCAAAATGTATCTTCTTAAGGAGCCCTGTTTCTGCTTCAAGAATCCCATAGGATCTCACTTTGAGGGGGTGACAGGGGAGGAACTTTGCGAGAGTGCTGAACGGCCAAAACGCTCGAAGAGGCCTGCATTCTCTGCGCGAAAAGCGATGTCAAGGAACAATGCGCAAAACACAGAGAGGAGTGCAATCAGAGCGCATACATTCAAAGAACGGGGAACAGGATGGAGGAAAGAGCGGAGGGAAGGGCGGCTGTTTCATGAGACGGCGTGCAAGGGCGCGTTTCTGGAGCTCAATGTCAGTTTTCAGGTTCCAGGGAAAACTGAGGAAAGAGCTCACAAGAAAACAACAAACCGGTTTAAACCCAGGAAAGCAGGTAGCAGTAGCTCAACGCAGCAAGAAGAAGAACAGCCGGGTGTTTCTGCAGATAAGGGTCCTCAAACGGTTGGTTCCTTCTGCTGTGCCTTAAAGGTCCTCCATTGCGAACTCCCAGGTTGTCAAGATAGACGACTCCCCAAAATGGTGGCTTTCCTTTTGGCTTCCCTTCAAACCCGCCTGACAGAAGCCTTCAAAACGAAGAGTCCCGCAAGAAGACCCGAAGATGGTATTTGAAGGGAAACCAAAGGGAGATCAGACGTTTCCGATTTTGAGGGCAAACCCCGCCTCGTAGTGGCCAATGATGTCCCGCACGCCCTCCCTCGCTTCGTAGAAGAGGTCGATCTCCCCATTGGCCTCGATGAACTGCCACACGTAGGCGCGCCGGTAGAAGAGCTTGAGGTACCTCGGACACGCTGGCTGCAAATGGGCGACGCCAAAATGGTGGTGGTGTTCCCTCTTGGTTCCCAAAAGACAAGCACCACAGAAGTGGTACAGGCAAACGACAAAGCCATGCCTAAGTCACTCCTTTATCTCTGTGGCCATGTGATCCCCCATGTAAACGCCGATTCCAAAAAGTCACTCCTAAGTCACGCCTCGGCAACAACCCCATGGAACGCTGGACATCATCGAGCTGGTCATGCTAAAAAACACAGGTGTAAACACTGAAACACAATGGAACGCTAATGATGGCAAAGCATGTTTTCCAGCCCCGCGAGGCGTCTGCAGGAACATGAAAACCAATGGCACGCTAAGCATACGATAGGTTGTTGCAAGAGTGTTTAGGAAGACATGATACAATGGGTGGCCTTTGCCAGCTCTTGCACCATCTTTTTCGCGTCCTGGAGCTCTTCTCTCTGGAAGGCAGGCAGGCATACGCGCAATGCACCCTGGCAAAAAAGACGGACCCGAATGACTGTGCTGTGTACAAACACAGCCCAAAGCCTGACTTGCTTGCACCAAGCTCACATGGAACCCAAGGGCAAGGACTGAAAGAATGTCCATCCAGCGAACCATCCAACTGGCTTCCACAAGATTCTCGCCTCACCCCACCCCACCCCTCCCCACCCCACCCCTCCCCAGCACACCCTACCCACACTTTTTCGCCCAGTCGCTTGGTGTACTGCCGCACGAAGAGCTGCCGCACAGCGGTGGAGTTCCCCAGCATCGCTCCCTGGCGACCTGTTTTGGCCATGTGGGTGTCCGCGGGCACGATGGTCGGAGCCACACCCACCAGGCCCACCTCGGGTCCCGAAATGGACCCCGAAACCCTGCAAGCCGCTCGACATAGGGGGTGTTTTTGTTTGAGGACATCCTTTTTCACTGGGAATGTGTGCGTGTGCGTGTGCGTGTGCGTAGGCGTGCATGCGTGCGTGCGTGCGTGCGCGCGGGCGGGCGGGCGTGCGGGCGTGCGGGCGTGCGTGGGTGGGTGGGTGCGTGGGTGCGTGGGTGCGTGGGTGCGCAATAGCTCATTCTCTGATCCTCGCGAATAGAGAATGATCCCAGGGTTTGTACATGTGGGTTTTTCTCAGCACCTTCGACGGCACTGATGGAAGGCACGCATTGATGGATGGATGTGGGGACTGGAGGGCATGACTCAGCGCAGTGGTTCCACCGTTCCATGCTCATGCTCAATGCAATGCGCTCAAAACGAGCGCAAAGCCCGCAAAAGCTTCCCCTGCCTTTCAGGACACCCCCACACCCTCGCCTTACGGCCTTGCCGCTTGCCCCTTTCCCACTCCAAACCCCCGTGTTCACACCGGTGCCGTAAACATGGCCCACAAAGTGCAGGATCCACTCCGAACTCGAACACCCCCCCTTCATGTTGACCCCGCATTAGCAAACCCCTGTTTATTAATATGAGGGTGGTGCTGGTTTTAGTGGGGATTCATCACTTTTGGAGGGGAACACCCCCATTTTTTAATCAACAGGTTTTCTTCTCCGGGGTCAACATTACTGGGCCCTTTGTGATCCATATTGATGTTGGCTAATGTTGATCTGTTGATGTGGGGGCTTAACCACAAATCAACATTGCTTTGAGAGGCCCTTTTTTTGTAAATATGTTGAAGGCTTCTCATTATTCATCCGGGTTTCTCCGCACCTCCGACACCTCACCACCAGCTCCCCAGCTGTCCGCTTCCCGCCTTGAATCCCGAAGACACCCAGGGGGCGAACTTCAGGGGCGAGCGGTGGGTGCCGTCCTTCAGCGTGTGCAGCGCCGTGATCACGTGGTTCGCCTGCGCCGTAATCACGTGGGAAGTGGAAATGACCACTTCTGTGATACAACAGAAAAGGATTCCCCAAGCCTAACGATTCCGTGTAAGTGGGGATAAACCCCTTGATCCCACAACCCTGGCCTCCGCCGGTTTCCTTCTCTTGGGCAAGCGAAACCATAGAGAGCCTTGTGGCCTTGGCACTAGAGCCACCATGCCGCGCCGCTAGTCGGCCACGAAACTTTATAGATTTCAAGGCACCCCACCTTAAGGAACTCATTTCCCCTGGAAAGAACGAGAGGAAAAGGAAAGCAACGCTCGTCGAAAAGCGATTTGGTTCGCCTCCACAGGCTGCTCGGTGTAGCCTTCGCTCGCTCGCTCGGTCTTCGGTCGGCTGCCGACCCCTCGCAGGAGTACCACCTCAAAATCGCCGCCCGCGTGCGATTCTGAGGCAGGAAAACATGCGAGTGTTTGGGTGCTCATGGTCTAGTTGCAGTTGCCCAGCACAACTTTGCTGCACGCTTTAACATCCCAAGGTCCCAATCCCACTCCGGCCGTGTCGGCCGGGGGAACCATCGAAATCTGGGCTGCCGGCCGAGGCGAGATAGCGGTTCTGCTTGAGGTGCGTCACATCGCAGAGCACGCTCTTGGACTCGAAGAGCTCAGTGACGATCTCCTGCTCGGAGAAGCATTCGTGGTCTTCCTGACGGCCGCAAGGGTTGGAGCACGCAGCAGTGGCAACAGGAGGGTAAGGAGGAGGAGGAGGAGGAGGAGGAGGAGGAGGAGGATCAAAACGAGGACAAGGGCCAGCACAACGAGGTGGGGGGACAACAACCGCAACTGCGGCACGCCACGAGAGAGACGACGAAAGAAAAAAGATGACAAGGGCCACAGACAATGGACGAATGGCCAAGGACCTGGGCTCCAAACACGTTCCCGAAAGAATGGTTCGCAATTGCAAAAAGGACAGCGAAAGAACCAGCTTCGAGTTGAGCCCAATTTTTTGCCGATTCCGCATCACTCCCATGCCTCGCGTCCTTCAGGCGCTTTTCCGATTCCGGTTGCTAGGGACCCTTTCTCCGGGCTTCCATGTACTTGTTGGACGCCCCAGACTTAGTTCAAACTAATTGGAAGTCTGCCCAAAAAAGTTTGGTGGTCCCCCATTTTGAGATACCCGAGAAAAAGCTTGGAAAGCAGCTCTCACGAACCCCAAAAGTTGTGAATCAAGCACCGGAAAACTAGTCATTTGATGGGCCGGCCCACGTCCAGGGTTTCGCCCACCAAATGCTTCTCGCTGACCCCAGCCGACAAAATATTCTTTCGGCCGACCCCCCGCCTTGGCTTTGGCCCTCACCGGCGCCAGCGACACCATGGGATACCGGAAGTGCTGCGTGGGCACCAGGTTGGTAACGATCTCCACCAGCGTGGCATGCAGCCTAAGCACGCGCGCACGCGCCCCGTTTCGGCTCGTTGAGCTTCCCAAGCAAAGAAGTGGAGTCAATCCTTTGGAGATGTGAGGCATCAAAAGACGAGCTTGCTTTACGGGGGGTTGTGTATCCCCAAATGTGGACGGGGTAATCCGTGTTCCTTCCCAAGTCCTGCAAGTCTGCTCGGTAGATGCAAAGGTCCTGGTTCAGCAACACAACGGCGAATCCAACTAAAATTACTCATCCAACTAAACTCGCAAAATACTCTACAAGTACCTACAAATTATCCAACTGGTAATCAAACAAAAAATCTGCAAATCCTAGCAAAATACCAACTGGTGCGTCAAGTATTTCGCCAACACGATTACCATAGTTTATTGTATTGCAATCCTGTGGTTTATCATGTGTATGTGAACAATCAAATAGTCCTTCACAACTAAATATATTGAGTATTCTTTGTTCAGCTCTTTCGGCGAACATATAAACTGTTGGAGTATCACCAATTGATAATCATTGGAGTTTGCTCTCTTGACCTTCATTGCTGCGTTCAAGACCGGTCACGACTTCTTGAAAACGTCATGAGAGCTCCAGCAAACAAACACGGGGGGGGGCAACTTTTGTTGCTGTCAAAAACTCCAAGAAAACGTGTCGATGCGATGGTCGGCGGCGAACACAGCGAGAAACAAACCTACAACAGTGCTTTTCCCAGCAGCCTCGCTGTGCCGACAGAGGGTCTTATCAGAGTCACCATAACCTGGGACAAGAATGGCCTATCCAAAGGAACAAACGGGCCCCACCCACGGTTGGCAGCCCTTCCCTGTCTGGGTTTAGATTAAAGTTTAGATATATCGATCTTGAGGTGAGGAAGCACCATCTTAAGGCCACTGGTTTCTGAGTGCCGCAAAGAAAGCTTGACTACTCAAGGGAGAGACCTTGGGTTGCCCCCCCAGCAAGTTCGGCCGAGGTTGTATGATAGTTAGTAAGGAGATACATAAGGGACCCCCCCCACCCTTCAGAACCCTTTCATCAGCACCCTTCGATCAGGTTCGTTCGGAACCCTTCATGGTTATGCCCGTGGGATTTGTCCCTCTTCTCTCGTTACGTCTAGTTTTTCCCGGTACTCTGTATTTGTTCGGCTTGACATACCCGCTGATGGGCTGCCGGGCTCGAGAGAAACAGCGCGCGCTGGCGGGGCACTGTCTCATACGAGCGGCTGAGTCTCGAATCTCAGAGATGTCGTGCAAGCAGAGATGGTTTGGGCAATGAGCCGATTCACGTGAGTGAAGTGGGGGCTCTTGATGTTCAAGTTGGTCTCGCACACGCGGTAGGTGGCTTCGTTGTCCAGCATCAAGGAAACATCAACCTGATGCTACATCACAGTGGTGCAGGTGTTTAATTAATAACCCTGCATTGTATGCCCGGGTTGGATTTATGATTCATACAATCCACAAGAACAGCTTCATCAGGGTCATTAACCATTTGCTAGGAGTGAGATACTCTCGGCATGTATATAGTTGGCCCAAATGTAGCAAGAATTCTGGGGACCCAAGACCACTCCGAGTTGAATGATTCAAACTCAAAGTCTCGTTTCGCCATCTTTGGTACTTCAAATGGTTTCCAACATTTGAATGATGTTCACGTTGTTTGTCAAATCGAGTCAATATCACTTGTATAGATTGGCAAACGGGGGCTCCTTAAACTTACGAAACTACGATCTAAAATAGCAAAATGGGAATGCTAAGTGAATCAGTTCATTTGACTCCAACACAAGGGGCTGGCAAATTGAAATCCGTAGATGGGCCTCGCTGAATACGCTCATTCAGATTGGAAAAAGAGGCTCGCAAGTTGAACATCGTTTGAATCAGACTAGCAACAAAAGGGGCTTGCAAGTTGAAATCAAACCAACTGAAATAAAAAAAATAAAAAGGGCGTGCTAAGTGCCATTGAAATTACTTTGAAGCAAATTGAAAACAGGGGCGTACTTTCTTGAATTCAGTTTGAATCAAAATACCTAGCAACAGGGGCTTGCTGGTTTAATCTTAAATCACGTAAATTTCAATAAGCAACAGGGGTCTTCCTAACTCTCGGATCAATCAAATTCGCTCAAGGGTCTCACTAACTCAAATACATAGCCAACTAACTTAAACACACTTCCAGAATGAGTATGGCTTGTCTCTGGGTGTCATGTGGCTGTGGGTCAAAAATAGGTACCCAAAATGGAACCCTGGTAAATGGAACCAAAGACTAAAACCTGCGGTCCCCTGGTGGCTGCATTTCGACCCACACCCATGTTCGAGCCAGGCTGCCACGTCTCTCATGTAGAAGGTAGAGAAGATGCAATTGTACGGCTCCACAATGCTGCTGGAGAAGCGGTGCGACGGGTACAGCACCTCGCACTCGAAAGACGCATCCCAAAGAACAAAAACTAAAACGGGACACCCCTACTAATCAACCAGGCTGGGTTCCCATTGCCGATCGCTTTGATAAAGTGTTTCCCAATTGAGCCCGGTTTTGGCACCTGCTTCTGTGGCAAGAATGTGGCTCTTTCGTGAACGCAACAAGCAGCGGAAAGCTCGTGGCTGGCGAGTCGTTCAAGAATTCCACAAGCTCATCCGCTAATGTTGCTTCGCAGGTCAAACACCTGTCTATGCGGGAAGAGCTCGCAACAAGCGCGAAGCAAGCGCAAACGAAACGAAAGCGACAGTCTGCGCAGGCTAGGACGAGTTAGGCTTCTGAAGGACCGAACCTATGACCTGACCTGCCAGTGATTCGACTACAAAATCCACGGAACGACACAGGAAAACGCGTCTAAGAAGGTACTCCCTTTGACAAGGGTCTTTCACTTCTAAGCGGTCACTTTCTTGCACGGAAATCAATCCCGGCATCCATTTGTCTCAGGGAATCGCGCTTGATTGATGGCTGCCCAAGATTGATTTGACTAGCAACAACCCCAGTCAAACAAAACAAACACATGCTTTTCCTCAATGGAAAGATCATGGTGATCATGGGACTTCTCCAGCCAAGGCATATTATTGCAGTGCCCATAAAGAAAGAAGGGCCTTTTGTCGGATTCGAAAGGCCAAGAACCGCCGGCGTTTAGAGATTTGGCGTCAAGGCAGTGCTGCCAGGATGTCAGGTGTCCAGCTCAACAACAAGTGACTAAGCGAGCCACTTCTGGCCTCCCGCAGGAGAAACCCGTTGGACCTGGAACCCTCGACCACCGGCCACTTTCAGAGTGGGAAGCTGAAAACAACTCGGGTGAAAGCCGTTCGGGGTACACTCGGGTCCGCAATCTTCTGGTCGTCCCGGCAAACTTGTTGCGGCTTTGCTTTGGTTCAATCACCCACAAATCCCATAAGTTCGTTCAGAAACTCCGACTCCGTGATTCTTGACCAGGGAACCTTTGAAGGGCATCATTACTATCCACCAACATTTTGGTTCCCCCGGCAACAAAAAAAAATACGCCCGGCAAATCTAACGCCTCAAGGCGAAGCCTTTGGGACCCTGCCAGCACGTATCCAAGCAAAACCATCTGGGTGCTGAAGGGGGCGGGCCTGCAAATCTCGGATTCATCCCACGAAATTTCCTTGGGGTGTTGTTTCCTGAGCCGATTAGAAATGAAGAATCCCCTGAGAAGGTGATGCTTGATTCCCGCAACTGCTTTCAGAACAGGACCTTCCCTTGTCACAACTGGCAACCTCAAACCACTGGTTTGGGTTTGGGGGGGCCCGGATCCAAGATGCGCCCTACCAAGACGAGAGGGGAAGCCGGGGCCGGTTTTTGGGCTTGGGCCCGGCACAGGCTGGAAGATGACCTTCTTGTCGAAGGCCTGGCGTCTAGGGTCTGAAACTGTCCGATTCCAAAGAAGACACAGCTGGATGGGAAATCCAGCTGCTAGCAGATCTGGAGCTGATCGGTGTTTGTCCAGGTCCGCCTTTTCCAGGGAAGGCATCTTCTGGTTTCGGGTCCAGCCCGGTTCAACTTAGGTGTCAAAGATATATTCAATCGACGCGATGTCCAAAAACGAAAGCCCCTCACAAAATTCGGCCCTGGAGTTCTTGCCCCTGCGAGACGTTGCCCTCGGAATAGATGCGTCTTCTGAAAACACCAGGACCCCTTTTTTCATCTGCTGAGGAGGCCCAACTGCTTTTGACATCCCGCGTGTCCGGCATCCCGCAAACCTTTGACTTCCCAGGATGCTTCCATACCCAGGTAGAGCGCCTTTTGTCCTGCAGGAACTGGTTGCATCTGTTTTGCTTCTTATTTGAGTGTTTCTCCAAATTGGGAGCCCACCCGGCCCAAGAAAATGGGCCAGTTTTTTCTTGGTTTTCCTTTGACACCATCCAAAAACAGGAAAGAGAGGGCACCACACAAAAACCGACACACCCAGCCCAGCCCTCGCGTGCCGTTCGTCGCCTCGTGGAGGTCGTGCAGCACCTCGCAGCCCACTCCGGACCCCGTGCCCCCACCGAAGGAGTGCAGCACGAAGAAGCCCTGGAGGTTTGAGCACAAGTCCACGGCCAGCCGCACGCGGTCCATGACGTCCTGACGTGGTCAGCAACAGCAACACATCAGTGGCAGTTCTTTTTGGTTTCCCTTAGCATGGGGGCTGGCCTGGTCCTCCCTGGCCCATCTGATTTGTGCGAAATTTTGAAACCTCACAAAACAAGCCCGTCTGCAGCCTTGGGCTTGCGAGTCTGCGGGTTTGCCCCGGTGATGCCGGTGATGCGGGTGATGCTGGTGATGCTGGGGATGTTGCTGGGAGCTGCAAGGCTTTTCACTGCAAAACAAACCAACAAAAACGCAAGCGCTTTCCTTCCCGAAAACGCTGACCCCACCACGGCGCTTTAAAGGCTGTGGCAGCCGGTTTCATCAGACTACAGGAATGCGGACAGCTTCCGCCAAGGTCTTTCACAGAGGCGTGCTTTTGACAGCTGCATCTGCCAAGCAAAGCCGCAGCGGCTGCAGACCGGACACTTGCTCTTTCCCAGTCGGTCGTGTCGAGCACGGGCTCCAAGACAGTCGGACTGGACAGAAAAAGGACGGTTATTTTTCAGCCGTTGTGTTGACCAGCAACAACGCTGACCCGCGCGCTCGGACCGGTCGGAAGTGTTGGAGCCAACTTCATGCGCATTCGCACGCACGTCAGGGCGGATGGATCCGGTCGTCGCAGTTGGGCGTTGACTAGACAATCCAGAAGCCGGAGCCGGTTCTTGCCGTGGTACGACGATCGCGACCCACAACAGGCAGGAGCTGCAACGGCGGAGCCAGGCGCGATAAACACAGCGCGGACGCTGCTGCCTTGGCCAACACAGTTATATGCGTGCATGAGACCCAAAGCGCCGCGACGGACAGCAAAGTCAGCAGGGCTACAAGCAACGGCTGCGAAAGTCGCCACCCGTCCGTGGACGCAGGCGTGAGCGCTCCACCTTGCCCGCGGCGGGCGATCGCCGCCTGGCGTGAGCACTCCACCTAGTCTGTGGCAGGCGTGGCGAAGCACACGACCTGGACGCGGGTTGCGCAAGTTGCCGCCAGGTCCGTGAACCCGACCTAGTCCGTGGCAAGGCAGGGTAGTGAAACAAACGACCCGGCCGTGCCGTTGTTGCTGTTGTTGTTGATGTTACTGTTGCAAGCGCAGGCGGCCTCTTTGGCGGAGTATGAGCTGGCACATGCGAACCGGTTGCGCCCGCAACGTAAATCCAGCCACTGGACGTGACCGGGGCTACCTACAGCTAAAAGGCCGTCCGCCCCGTGCCGCCGACCAGAGAGGACCAGCGAGGACTGCAGAACTTTTGCGCTTCGCCGTGCCAACTATGGGGCAATTTTGGACACTTTTTGTAAGTCAAAGAACGAGCACTTTTTGGGGGGGTGCCCATAGTGGACGGCATCCCCGTGCGGATGACACGTGATGCGGGGGATGTTGCCCAAATGTGGGTGGAAACGGGTGACATGAAAGAAATGTGGATGGAAAACTGGGGCAAAATGGATTGCAAATTCATGCAAATATACGGGAAGACGAATGCAACATGGATCAACATGTATCTGGAAAACTGATGGGACATGGAGCGAAAACGGATGGGCAAACTGGGATTGAATGCATGGGTAGCTGTCCTAGTGCAATACTTTTTCGCCTGCCATGGGGCGAAGGATTGTAGGCTTAAGCGATTTTGGAGCATCTCTCCGGAATCAAAAAACAAGCCTTCTTGGCTGGCCGCGCAGTCCCACCACTAAGACAAAGTGGTACGCCTTTGCTCTCCCAACCCTGAAACGCAACCCAAACTGAGCCACATAATTTGCAGGGCAGGGCAGCGAACCCACGGCTCTGGGCCCCCAGCTCATGAGCTCCTGCGTTGGGTGGCCCCAGATTCGCCTGGCCCCTCCAGAACACCCACACACACACACATAGCAGGCCTGCGCCTTCGCTGGACACGCGTTACAATTTGCTGCCTTCCCTGGCTCTGAAAGCGCAAATGAAAAAGAGGCGACAACCCTTGGTCCGCCTCGCTATGTCCCCCAAGAACGCCACCCCACCAAAGGGAAACTCCTTTAAAACTGCAAAAGAAATTCGGCAAGCTTCCCCATACCCCTACGTTCCTTCACAGCACAACTTTTTGCCCTCAGAGCGGGCCGTTTCCCGCGTTTGTGGCACGGCGTAGCACAAAGGAACAGGCTGCTTCGCAACTGTCCAAGTGTACGCGAAGACAACACCGCCCCCGCCCACGCTACGCTCTTACCAGACTCTGCTCGCTCGCCTGCCGTTGCGTTGCCCACACAGCGCCTTAGCAACACGAAAAAAAAGATTGTCGCCGCTTGCTCCCCCCACACATGCACCCACGCAGACTGCTCGGCAAGACCGCTGCAATCAACCAGACGCAGCACCGCCGGCCTGCCACCTGGGCGTCTCCAGCACCTGTCACGAGAAGACAAAGGCCAGCCTTCAGCGGCGCGAAGAAGCAACCGCAAGTCGGCGGGGCTCAAGTTCTTCGCGGCCTCGCAGCGGGCGGCCAGCGACACGCAACACAGCCCCACCTTGACCCCGCCTGGCCTTCACCATTCTTGCCTTTTTCTTCTGCAACACCTTCTGCTCTTTGGCCAGCACGCGCTTCCTTCTTGACGTCAGCCCGGCGCTGCTTCAAGGCCTCTATCTCCTCGCGAGTTCCCCTTTGGATGGACCTCTCAGTATTTCGGACCCAGTCCTCATTTAACTGGATCCAAGTCGTCTTGCGCTTGCGCCACAGGAACCGTTCTGTGCCGCCATTGTCCGGCTTCTCTTCCACGGTGGACATGAGAAGGGCCTTTGCCTGCTTGGAGAATGCGGTCTGTCCGCCCTTGTGGTGAAATTGATGAACGTTGCGCTGTCGGCAGCTCAACGCAAAGATTTGCAAGAAGGAACTGCTCTGTGGACTCCGAGCCAGCAGCCAAGGCGCCCAGGAGCGCAAAGTCGCCTCTTGCCTCACCTTGGGATTCTCCTGGCGCTCGTTGGTGTCAGGTGCTGGGCAAGAGCGGAACTTGAAGAGGAATTCGATTGTAAAGGTTGCAAGCTTTGATCATGTCCTTTGAAAAGGTTTTGATGCGGTAGGTGTCAATCTTTACGGCGACGTCTGTGTCCGCCACAAACAGCAGCATCATCTCGGATAATGCGGATGATGCAGGGAATGCTGGCGATGCGAAAGGAATGAAGCGACATTAGTTGACATTATGGGACACTGAAGGGGCATGAAAGGACATGAAAGCAACGGAAGGAATGACAGGGAATGGCCTTCAAACAGTAGGAAAACAACCTGATGGAAATGCAGGAAATTAATGGGAAAGAAGGAAATAAATGAACGGAGCTGAAGAGAAACAAATGGAAACGAAGGGGCATGAAGAGAAATGAAGGGAAATGAAGGAAAATGAAGGGAAGCGCAGCAAACTGGAAATAGGGAAGTGAGGCTGAAATGACGAAGAACAGTTTTTGGAAGAGGCAGGCAAGGTGCCCAGCAGCCGCCTTTGTAGCGCCAGCGTGTAAATCGAGAAGGCACGGGAAGCATGGCAGGCAAAGCCCAAGTCGCATGAGGAATTAGACCACTTGGGGGCCACCGGACATGACCGGGCCAAAGGCCTAGCTTTGAGGGCTGCTGTGGGGCGAAGCAGCGGCGGATTTGTTTGAGCAATTTTAGACGATTTTTGTAAAATCCTTCCGTGGGGTCAAAGAACGAGCACTTTTCGGGGGGGGTGCCCAGTGGACAACATCCCCGGCATGACCTGCATCATTCGCATCCGTGGCAGACATTGATACAGGTGATGCGGGGGATGTCCACTCTGGTGAAGGGATGTGTGGGGAAATGAAAGAAATGTGGATGGAAATGGGTGGAATATGTATGGAGTGAAATAAAAAAATGGATGGATAATTGTGGAAAGTTGTTGGAAAAATGGGAAAGTGGATGATCATGAAGTGGGGGAAGGATGGAAATGGGTGGAAAATCGATGCCAACTGTATGGATGGAAAACGGATGCAAAATGGATGGAACATGGATGGCACAGTGATGGAAAATTGATGGACACTGGATGGAAAAATGATGGAACGTGTATCTGGGAACATGGAGCGAAAACGGATGGGCAAAATAGATGGAACATGAAAATGATGGAGCCTGGCTTGAATGCAGGGACTGGAAGTCACATGGGTGGCTGGGTGGGTGTTCCCGGTGGCTGTGTTGCGTCAGCCTTTTCATAGAGAAGGCACCGAAAGCATAGCAGGGGGAAAACCCGAGTCTCGAGTCTCAGCAGGACACGCCTTGTGTCGACTGTTCAAGGATCGGTCACGGATGCATATTCCAAGCCACACCTTGAAGGAAGGGCAGCACAAATCACTCACCGACCAACCTCTGACCTTTGAATCTTTGGAGGGAGCCCTTCCCGCGACAGATCGACTCAAGAGAACTAACGATTCAGGAGCCACCTGTTTGTAACTCATTCGATGTTGGAATGAGAACTGCGGCGCGATTGCATTGCAACACAGCGCAATGCTTGCCTATTAGCTATTGTCATTGTGTCGCTTGTGTTGTGCCATTGGGTGTTGTCGTCCTCTTTGAGGGAAACCAAGGGGCCAAAGGTCGGCCCGCACCTGGCTAGCGCTTTCCACCTTTGTCAGCTGGTTTAGAGGCTTTGCAAAGAGGCTCCGTGTGGGGCTTCCATTTGCACCTCACGCTGCCCCACTATTGCCGTGAAGAATGCAAAAAAGGCACAACCTTGGCCAAAGGCTCCATCGTTTGACCAATCGAGCAATGTTTCCCGTTTTGCCCTGGCGCCCGTTCTCCATCTATCTTGCCGTCCCCACAGGGGAACAACTATGCCATACTAATTCACAAGCCCAAATCAATGCTTCCCTATGATCCCTAGGAAAAACACCGAGAGATCGCACACCCAAACCCTGGTCGCACAGAAAGGGTCCCCTGGCCGTGGAGAAGGGCAAGCTCGGAGAAACCGTCTGCTTGTAGCATGTTTCGGGTGACCCGTTTCTTGGGAAACGGATGGCTTCCTTTCGGATGCAAATGATTGATCGCCCATGTAAAGCAGAAACCGTCTAGTCCGGGTCCCCCGAATCTGTCGCCCGCTCCTCCTTGATCTTGCAGTGTGCCGCCATAAAGCGGCCCTCGAAGAAGATGTTCTTGCAGTCCTCGCAGGCTACCATCGAGACTTGGACAAAACCACGCAGATCGGAAACCCCACAGGTGAGATCCACCTGCCAACTGGTGTTTGTCCACAGTTGGATTGTCCAAGATGAGTGACAGCGGAGCAGGGTGTCGAGCAACCGTTCTGACACTCATTTCTTCGAGATTGGTCATCTCAAACAAAAATGAGCCAAAACAGTCAGGCGCCAAATGTCCTCAGATTCCTGCTTGTCAAACCCTCTTTGGGCCAGGGTTTCCAGTGTTTCCCCCTCAAACACAACCCCCGGGGCATCTCACCCAACATGGAGGGAAATGTCTAACACAACCGACAGGCAAAACCAGGCAGCCCTGAGCAACACGAGTAACACCAAGACAAGTTCCGATTCCGACATCGAAGCTGTGTCCTGCTTGTACCCCAGGATAGACTCGGGGTGGAAGAGCTTGCCTTCGCCATTTGAGCGCGTGTCCAACTTAAGAGACCCATTTTGGCGTGGTAAAAGCAAAGCAAAGAACAGCCATCTGAGCAACAAAAACAAAACCCAGAAGCATGCGCCATAGGCCTTGCCATCCTGCTAAGCCAAGTAGCAGAACCACCTATTAAAATGGCCAACCAGGGTTCCGGACGCTGCTCATCTGGGAAACTCCGCAACTCAACACAAGGCAATGACCCACAATGATGCAAATAGCTTTGGCCCGGGTCGTTTGATCTCTTGGTTCCACTGACGCGAGCGCCTTACTGACAATTTTTCCCAGCCTGCGCAATTGGAGTGCATTTCAAGACCAACTGAACGAAAATAACCACAGCAAACGCACTGCCACAGATCCCAACGAACCACTTTGTGCAAGCCTGCGCAGTCGAAATGCATTGCGAGGAAACAACCACGAAAAATGCACCGCCCCGAATCTCGCCCAGCCACTTTTTTACGGCACATGCAACTTTGATAAACAGCCTGCGCAGTCGAAGTGCATTTCCAGATGTTACAAAGTCACGATTGCATGGTAACTACCACGCAACATGGTCCGGCCCTGATCTGGCCATGGGTCAAAATCCTGTACCCCCAGTGAACATCCCAATCCCCACTAAAATAGGTTCCAAAATGGGTGGTGCACCTACCCCAAAATGGTACCATTGGTTTTGACAACCACAGCCATCTAACCCTGGCCTTTTACGCTTACCGTAAGAACCCCTTGGTCCAGACTCGGGAAAGCAAGCTGCGCCAGTCCGAGGCCAGGATCTCATCCCTGGTGGAGGGGTCCGTGTCCACGAAGATGGAGCGCGGCACGTGCTGGCCCGCGTGGGTCTCCGAGAAGAAGGAGCTGTAGGTGGTGTCCTGGAGAAGAAGCCCCCACCCGATGGTTCCCACTTGTTTTGGGGCCTTCTCCTTCTTTCCCTCCCCCCCAATAAATCGCTGCGTCGAACAGACACTGTGCGCTATCGCAAAGGCAAAAAAGGTTCCCACTTCCCCCCACCACTACCCCACATGGAAACCAAGCTCATACCCTTTGAGTAGGGGGCTTTTGGGTGGTTTGGTATCCCATTCAACTGAAGGGGGTGGTGGTTTAGAGGTAGCGAATCCCATCTTAGAAACACAAAACACAGAGCTTCGGCGTGTTCAACCCCAATTGATGAAGCAAATTCGAGGAACTCCCTTGCTACACTTCGGGGTGGGTGGGTGTGTAAATACATTTGCTAGCCCCCCCCCACAACAAAAAAGCTGAAAGCCCGCCTGCAATTACCCCCTCAGTCCACAACTGAAACACAATGGTCTCGGAAACTGCAAACAACCTGGTTCCAGACAGGGATGGATCTCTCCTGGGAGACAGGTTTGTTCAGTTGCTTCAGTTGTGTCAGCGCTTTCAGTTTTTCAGTTGCTCAATTCTTGACTCAAGGAGTTGCCACGCTGGGTTTCCTAAAGCCCCAAAGAGGCAAATCATACTGAAAAAACCAGTGAAATATGGGTCTGGGTTGAAGAGTTTTGTTTTGGGGCGGGCAATATGCTTTTGCATATATATATATATGCATATATATATATATATACATATATGCATATATATATATATATATATATGATATGTGTACATTTGTCACATAACGGTGTGTGTTGCATGCAACGCGCGCGTGCATGCGTGAGAGTCTGTCCACACCTGCCTACACACAAGTCAACTTGTGACAATCAAGCAGTGCCATGTCCGTGTCAGGCGGCTTCTTTGCAAGCTTCTTCACTGCCTTCATGGCCTTCCCAGCCTTCATGCGTAGCCTTCATGGTGCTTGCCAAACAGTTTTTGGGACGCTATCAACACTTGAGTCCCGCAAACCGCGCAACAAAAAATGCCGAAGGGCACAAGCTCGGGATCTGCAACATGTTTGCCCCTTTATGGCGTGGACCCCTTCAAGTGGCCGGCTTCCTTGTGGTTGCGCGTGTGTTTTCTCCTCCATGGCTTTATTGCATCCCATGCAACCTTCATCCTTCAATCGCCAGAACGCAAAACAAAAAACATCCAAAACGGTGGTGCACCCAAAGACCCGACCCCCCAAAATGTTTGTGTCAACGACCCCTGCCTCCTGCTCGGCCCCGAGGGCGCTCACCTCCATCTTGTCCCGGGTGCCATCCTGCTTCACGCAGTGCTCGTGGCAGAACAGCTCCCAGCAGTCCCGGCCGATCTGGCACCCCGCCTGCCGGAGCCAGCGAGGGCGCCCAGCGAACCGGCCCCCCCAATTTCCCCCCCCCCGGCCCTCCGGGCTTTTTGTTGAGAGAAACTGTCCCTTCCAAAATCCGACTGGAGGTTTGACCGAGCCTTGAAAAACTCTGGGGAAAAATGGGCCATCCTTAGGAAAACAGAGGGACGAGTGCCTGGGATGAGCTAGGCTGGAAGCATGCTGGAATGCGATGAAACCAGCGATCCAAGTGCTGCGCACCCTTGACAGCTGAGCATGTCTCAGAATAGCGGGGGACTTTGAAAATGGCAGGTGTCCCTTTTAGGTTCTCCTATAACAACAACATACACAGCCCAAAAGAAAGGTGCCCAGAGAAAAGACACATACACAGCTTGGCCATGTTGATCGCTCCCCCCCCCTTGCCTGACCGATGTGGATGGTAATACACTCTCCATGGGAGGACATCGAGTCGGGAGAATGCACCTAAAGCTACTGCCCTGTGGCCCCAAACACAAGACAGGATGTCTGGGTCAGTTTCCTTGTTCGGTAAGCCAGGTACTGAAGAATTGCTCTGTGGAAAACCGCTCAACCCAAAAAATGTCTTTGCTGGGTTCAACATGCTGTCTCCAAAAGCCCAATCAAAAAACAAGGCCGTGGCGAACCTGGATGGATGGCTTGGAGTTCAAAGCTCGGCTTCAAATTCTCCAAAGGACTTTCCATGCGCTGTCTTGAGCTGCGGCGAGGTCGACCGGTTTGACCCCGAAGTGAAGAGCGCCCCGATCCGGCAGAAATGGATCCGCATTTCGGGGGCGCATCCCGCAGAAGACCCCTGGCTTCACATCGCATCTCACCGTCAGATTCTTTGCCTTCATAGGGCTTCGATGTGGGCCAGGTGTGACTACCCATCCGTCCACCTACCCATCCCTCTTAGGTCGACCTGTTGCTGTTTGGATCACCCGTCCACTTTACCTTGAGGTTTCAACAGGTGTTTCCCTAATGGCATATGTACGGGAATTCTTCTGGCATGTGTCATTTGCTGATTCTTGCGTAACAAATCTCGCTGTTTGTTTCCAATTGATATTTGATATTGAGCGCTGTTTGAATGGGAGATGCCAAAGATGCCGATACTGTGCAACCGCATTCTGACTGTTATTTGAGGCGTATATACTCCCGGTGCCAATGTGTATGATTGTTTTGATGGACTTGTCCAAATGCGGGACATGTGAATGGGTTGTCTACTGGTTGTCCGCTTATTTCAGACGTAGTCCGACCAAGGGCTTACCCACACCTGGAACCTGCGCGGATCATTCCGCGAAGCTCGGACCAGGGCAAAAGGGAGTTGCACTCAGCCCCCAAAATGTCGCAGAGTGACACTCCCAGAAAAGCATACCTGAGAAAAGGAGCTTGGTTGGAGTGAACCCCAAACAAGGGACTGGTGAAACATGCCTTACCTCCGGTTATCAAACAATGGTCTAGTTTGAACCACCTGTGATTGAACATGTCTCCTTCTTCAGAGCCCACAGGAGAAAATACCCTGACGGCTGTTCTTGCTTCCTCTCCGTCCTGTACCCCTCCCCCCCTCACAAATCAGATTCGGGTGGTTCGCTCATGCAACAAGTGATCCACTCAAATACGGAACCTACGCAGAACCAAAGTGAGGCGCGGGTGAGACAGACCTTCCCATGGCCAGGTTGGGTTGCTCCGAGGCTACTCCAACTTTAAAAAAGTCGCGAGGAAGACCTGGCGTTGCAGCACTGCAACTCGTCAACTGACATCCCCAAAAGGACAAAGCCATTTGGAGCAAAGATAAGAGACCATCGTGCCACTGCCAAACCGTCTTCCAAGCAGATTTCAGCCTCGAGCACCTGGCTTCAATTCGGCTGCGGCTTAAACAGCAGAGCCTCTGGGCAAGCTGAGAGAGAGTTTGAGCCACAGCCAGATATACACAGGGTGAGGTCGAATAACCTGAAACAGACGTGAAAATCGGCAAACCGGACACCATGGGCCAGCTGCCCCAACGGAACCAGGGGCCTTCAGCCTTGCGATTTCCGTGCCTCGCGCGCTCAAACGATCGTTCGCTTCAATGATGCCGTAGATGCACCAGCGCATAGGTCCACATGAAGGCTCAAGACCAGGGAAGAGGTCAACAGATACGCCACTTAGTTTGCTCCGAAAGGGCATGAAGCTGGCAAAGGGAAAATCAACAACCAGGCGAATTTCCCATGGGTAAATTGTCTTGTTTCACCGAACCATCACGGGTGTTTCTGGTGAAACGGTGTCACCCGTTTCCGCCTTGTGCTCTTTTTGTGCCGGGCGTATTCGGGGGGCCCTTGAACATCAATTGCTTGGGAAAGAAGAAAGCATTACTAACACTCACCGTGGCGGCAGTGCCCCTGGCTCCACTAACTACGCAGGTGCACGGCAGCAAGCCTCTGCCTGAACCAAAGCAACCTATCATGTTGACCCGACATTTGTCTGCAAATAAAAGTCCCAAACATGTGAATTCAGGGATTCCCCAAGCAAAGGATCTACATTATGTGCCGTTCAGATCGGTGAGCTCGAAATCAGAAAATATCGAAAAAGTAGATCTACTAGGGCATGATCCCCATGGGAACCACATTTCCTTTGGGGCACGGGAGACTGAAGGGGACACCAAACAGCCCAGATCCAAAAGCGTCACCCCGAAGCCAAGACGAAGCTCACGAACAGCCAGAAGAAGAGCCTTGCGTTGAACATGACAGAAAAGATCGGTTGTTGTCATGTTCCTTGTTTAGTGAGGCACAAGCAAAAGACAGAAGACATGAGTTTTTGCTAGGCCTCACAGAAAGACAGTTTTTTGCTTGTGCCTCACCGAAAGCCGGACCGAAATGCCATGCAATCCACCTTCTACAATCCATTCGAGCCTCTGCCGAACGCCTAAATGTGCAAGCAGGGTTTGCAATAATTAAGGAATCAGCCTAACTGTGCCAGACAGGCAAACAGGGAAGCAAAGAGAGCTTTGCTGCCAACCTC